AGAGAGAGAGAGAGAGAGAGAGAGGAGGAGAGGAGAGGAGAAGGAGGTAAAGGGGAAGAAAGGAAAAGAAACGTAAATGGCTAATATCATACATATCTGCTTATAGTTTAACCTGTCGGTATGTTGCTTTCTTCCCTTCTTTATGTAAATCTGCTTCGGCAACCTGCAATCAACCAACTAACAATTTTATTTTCATAGTGAGCGGCATTTGAAATGTAAAGGACTCTTCATCCTTCCAATTCTTCATTCGCAACAATTGCTGACCCGATACACATTGGTGCAGGTGACGAAGGTTTACCAGACTGCCAGGTACTTGAGCCCGAGTCATCAAAAGTTACATACTACGGTTGCTCACGCTCTTTGTTATATCATCCTAGAACTGTCGAAAATCCAGTAGAACATGCAAACGTGGTGTACGCTTAAATTTCATCGATACGACCGTTAAGCACCCACCAATTGTCGCAGCTGGCGGAGACTGGAAGGGTCAGTCCATTTTATAGGCCGTCTTGGATCCCGATGTTTACGACTAGAGAATAGTAACTGACTGACTCTGCCATATATTTGTAGTATCCTTCCAAGATGAGTCGAGAGAAATCGCCTCGGAATATGAAGGAGGGTCACAGCGGTATGCTCCTCTAGAGCAAGTCGCCCGGCCAAATAATGCGACCCCCAACCAAGCCCAGCTGTACTCTTCCGCTGCCGCCTCTTCCTCTTCCTCCGCCGCCGGCTTGAATACCGAGACCATTCTCACACAGCCATTACCTTCCATGCAACCGCCAGTGCAAACAGCATCCGCGGAATTCAATAGAAGACACCGGCATCGTGGTAGTACTAGTAGTGCACATACGGACAACAGCTCCACAACAATACGACAGGCACCTCCTCCGTCAGATTTGATTCCAACCGAACCCAGCCTTCAGACCGAGGTCCGGAGCATATTGAATAGATCGGAGGAGACACTATTCATGCAGGTCTTCGTAGAAGAGGTTGGTATATGGATGGACACACTGGACCCCCTGAAACATTTCTCTAGGCTTCTGCCTTTCCACTCGTTGGGGGAACCAATGCTCCTGAATGCACTTCTGGCCTGCGGTGCCAAACACCTCTCCCTTGTGAACCCCGCTTACAAAGAAGACCGTGCACTTCATTATTACGACTTTTCGACAAGGCTTTTGCTCGATGCCCTCCAAAACCCGGATCGTGATACTGTTATCTGTGCGGTCACCGCAGTTGTCCTGAATGTCTACGAAATCATGTCGGAACGTGCTCTACAGCGAATGAACCACATTGCCGGAGCCCGAGCCTTAATCAAAGAATGCGGGTGGACCGCCCTTGATACGGGGTTCGGAGGTGCGTGTTTTTGGATCAATGTCACCATGGAACTTCTTAGCTGTTTACATTTCAATTGGCCAATTGCGTGGAAGCCTGACGACTGGGGTGTCAATATGGATTTTACGCAGGACTGCGAACCGGGACATGAGGAGCTATGGGCTTACAGAATGGTGTACCTTCTCGCTAAAGTTGCAGACTTTCGTGCCACTATCCCTAGATACACCGAGCCCCTTGATCCTATTCTAATCAGCAACAAAACAAGCGAGAGGTTGGAAGAATGGCGATTCCTAAAAGAACAATGCGAAACTTGGGATGCCAGCGTGCCAAGGAGCATGCAACCGTTGTCCTATCTGTTGCCTGGCGAAACATCTTCAAAGTCGAATTTTCCGAGCATCTGGTATGGTAAACCTGATCGTCTTTATTTGGAACGATTGGTATTAATTTTCAACTATAGGCTCCTCAAACGTTCGAATGTAGTTTCCAGGTTATTCTACCATACAGCTATGGTTCTGTTGGCGCAAACCCACCCTCTGATGACTGTGGAGGTCCCGGAAATGAAAGAAATGGCGATGATGCATGCGCATACAATCTGCGGCATTGTTGCTCCCTTGAAAGATAGAGGAATTGCCTCCGTAGCCCTCCGCCCCCTAGCGGCTGCTGCAGAACTGTTAACTGTACACAAGGAGCAGAAGGAAGTCATAGAAATTGTCCGCCGGATATCCCGTGAAACAGGTTGGGGCGTTAACTTTCTTCTGAAAGAGCTTCCGGCAAAATGGGGATGGAATAGTGGGAGCCAGCAACAACATGAGACTTCACAAGCACCCCCGACTTCCTTGCTTACTACGACTCTTCTTAACCATGTCCCGGCTTCCATTCCACCTCCACCAGGCTTCAATCATAGTCCTTCGCACTTTGCTGTATTGAAACAAAGCGCGGCAGAGGTTCAGGCACAGGCGCAAGCCCAAGTGCATGTACAAGCACTAAAGCAACCAGCGCCGCCCCGGCGCCCACCATTTCCGAGCCCTTATGCGCAGGGGGCCAATATCGACCCTGCTAATCACCCATATTTCCCCCATTACGTTACCGCTCTTAATGTACACGCGGACCGTAACAATCACTTATATTTTTAAGCTTATTGTACTCCACTTAGAGATGATATATTTCTCGCTACGATTTGCTGTGCTCAAGCGGGCACGCCTTTCGCGCACGGCTCTTTTACCTAGATCCCTACAGGGCTTACTGGTTTCAAGTATTCCTTTCGATGCATCGTTTCTTTTGGATGGATGGATTTTGCGTGTTCGTTACATACCCTGGAGTTTTTGATGTTTTGGATAGGGTTCTACTGTAAATGTAATATAGTAATGAAGCAAACCTTTGATCGTCTTTTTGATGCTTTAGTTACCGGTACCACTACCCTTATCATTATCATTGTTATCCATTGCGGGATCTTCTCTTCTTTTTCCTTCTGCTACTCTCGTTCCATTTCAGTTATATCCGTTATCATATTCGAATATTCTCGGGTCTCGGATATAAGACCAAGGGCATCTTACGGCTTTGTCATCAACGCTCATACAGCGCGGCACTTATTTTTGTTTTATTTTTTTTAGCTTCGTATATTATTCCGGCCCCAGGTGAATCAAACTCGGTGGTATCCTATAGCCACTTGAAAATCTTATACCCGTTAAATGGCCGATTGATCGTGCGGTTATTTCCGATAAGAGGCCGGTGATAAGTTTTGAAAAAGGGAACCGAAGTGATGTACAGACATGTATTTTAAGTGCTTATATACGAAGTACTTACATATCTAGAACTGCCCAAGTGGCCAATTACCTAGAATGCAAACATCAATTCTAGCTGGCCTCGTTCTATCTATCAATATTATATTATTTCATCGGGAAATTGCGCAATGACGAGCCTGTTGGGCGGACTTCGGCATACTTCCCGAGGCTTTGCGTTTCATTATCAATCTAGTTTGTGTCGGCGGGCTTGCGCCATAAGCTGGAGAACTACCGCAACAGGTACGTACGACGTAGACTATTAAATACCAGCCGAGTTAACCATGCTGGATTCCCCTCCTTCGGTCTCCTCGAGAAGTAATAAAATTGACTCTGAGATCTGAAAATCACATCCGTATAGCATATCCCACTACCAATCAATACCAGTATCGATCAAAATCCAACATGTCGACTCAGAAAGCTATTCAAATTTCCAAGACTGGTGGGACTGAGGTTTTGGAAATAAACCAAATCCCAATTCCAAAACCACAACCAGGTCAAATTCTGGTCAAGGCGGCGTAAGTAGACCCCTCTTTATTCCGTTTCTATTCCCATTCCCATTCCCATTTTCTTTATTATTTTTTCTTCTATTTTTTCTTAAAGAAAAAATGAAGATGAAGATGAAGATGAAGATGAGAATAAGAATGGAAATGGAAGTGAAACGCCAGTATATTCAGTTCTTGATACTAAAACACATATATTCTCATTCCGATAGATATGCTGGTGTTAATTTCATTGATACCTATTTCCGCTCTGGACTCTACCCAGTTCAATTACCATTTACCCTCGGCTCTGAAGGGTCGGGGACGGTCGAAGCTGTTGGGGCAGGTGTGACAAAATATATACCTGGAGAACAGGTGGTATACTACGGAACGGGCTCTTATACTGAGTACATAAATGTACCAGAAAAGGCTATTTCCCACATCCCGGAAGGGTTGAAGCTCGAGGATGCCGCTGCTATCCTGATCCAAGGGCTTACGGCATTGACAATGCTACGTGAGAGCTATGAAGTCAAGAAGGGCGATACGATCCTTATACATGCTGCTGCTGGCGGTACCGGATTAGTACTTGTTCAGCTTGCCAAGGCACTGGGTGCTACTGTTATTGCGACCGCAAGTTCTGCTGAGAAGCTTGAAATTGCAAAACAACATGGTGCGGACCATCTTGTTAACTACTCTGGTGGCGAGGATGAATGGGTCAAGGAGGTGCTTGGATACACTAAGGATGGCGAAGGCGTCGAGGCGGTTTTCGATGGTGTAAGTAAGATTTCTTGAGGCATGATGCTTGGTGGAGATGAGACTAAATTCGAGAGCCGAATACTATAGGTCGGTAAGGCAACCTTTGAAGGTGATTTGAAGGTCACCAAGAGGAAGGGCAGCGGTAAGTGTAATACCTAGTGGCCGACTGTATTCACCAGATTCTAAAATGGAGGCCGTAGTGGTATCTTTCGGAAATGCTAGCGGTGCGGTGAATCCGTTCAATATAGGGTAAGAGCCCCCTTAGATCTTGGAATTCGGAACATGTGCTGACGAAACCCCTAGCCGTCTTGGAGACAAGAACCTCAAGCTGCTACGACCTAGACTATTTGGATATGTTGGTAGGTGACACACGTTCTCAGGAGGGGTGTAGATAGTAACTTTACCCTTGGCCTGCTAACAACCCCGCGTTTGCACTAGCTACCCGGGAAGAGTTCGACCACTACACACAGGAGCTCTTTGGTTATCTAAAGAATGGCCAGCTGAAATTGAACATCCACAAAATATACCCACTGGAAGATATCGTCCAGGCTCACAAGGATCTAGAAGGGCGGGTTACAACAGGAAAGCTCGTTTTGAAGATATAAATTGGACTGGTCAGAGTGGATGGCGTCCTATATCAGACTATAATTTAGCGACTAGCTAGAGGAATGGGATGTTTTTACAAGCATATATACGTCTCGTGCCAGGCACCGAGATGATAATTCTGGGTCCCGGCCACGATAATCCTAACCAAGTTTAAAAAAAGGGTGAGAAGAAACAAGAATTTTGAAGACCAGTCCCACTTTCAAGAACAACATATTGTAATAAAAAGACCCCGAAACGCCTCCAGCAAAAATAGTAGAATTTGATTGGGTCGCCGACGAGATTAATAAAAGTAGAAGGCAAACTGAAGATGAAACGGTGAACGGCTAGCTAGATAACGGGCACTATAAATCCTCTGCGTTATTTTCGATAAGCATCCCAACAGCTCGAGCGTATGGAATGGTGATGCGTTGAAGTTCGCGGAATTTGCCTGCGTAGCCAAAATTTAGTGTGCTGGGTAGCAGGTTAATTTCAAGAGGGTATCGACCTACCAAATATTAACAGGCAGCTTTTCAGCAACTCCGTCTTGTCCCACCCACATATCATCGTATCTTCCACCTTGCTTTCCCCTTTAGGGTCCGCAGAGTCATCGATCATCATCATCGACTCGTTAACGTCAGTCATAAGCTCTTTGCAGAGCTCTTCAACTTTGTGTTTGGCGCCTTCCATAGCTATGCGTCGCGCGTACATGGTAAGATATGTCTTGAAATCGTCTTTTGCTTGCAGGCTCTTAGCAGCTGCAATTCTGTTTTCTAGGTGGGCAACAGACACGGTGCTCTCGAAGCCTTCCCAGCCCTCCCGGGTCGAAAGCCGTTTTATGATACCTTGGAGGAATCTGCCACGGCCGTGCATAAGAACCTCGGCCGTTGTGCGTCTCTCGACAAACGGAATGATTCCGGAAGACAAGCCGGCTCCGGTTGCCATCGCGGTTCCACCACTTGTATCCCAGAACTGTGATCCCGTAGCCCACCATGCCTCAGATATCTTTTGCCAGACACAGAGGTCGCTCGAATAGACGAAGCCATCGCCACTCGTTAAGCAGATGATTACGTTGCCATTGCCATTCACGCTAGCCTCGGTGATACTTTCTGCTTTAGAGACGGGTTTATCAGCATCCGATAGTATACTTGCGAGATCGAATATGGGTGCAAGGCTGACACCCCCGCCACCGTACTTCGACTTCATTGTCTGAAGGTTCCAGACATGGCAGGCTCCGACACAAGTGATGGCCATTAGCCACCAACCCCGTGACTCGAGGAAGCAAGAAGTAGCATCCAAAACCAAGGGGGAGAGAAGGCGTCTTCCAGCGGGCGTAAACACATGTATTGTGCCGTCTTCACAAGCAGCGGCATAAAAATTGGTAGTTGCTGTGATAAGAATAACAGGCTTAGGGAGATAATCAACCCAGACGGTTTTGCCCTGGTGTGCCACCGACAACTTGGTTGGTTCATTTGGGTGAGGATATTTGATATTATTTTTGGCCTCAAAGACGAATTCACCTGTCTGTGACTCAGCGCCCGAGGGCCCATTGACATTATCAGGCAAAGGGGCAGGGTTTCCCTGGCTGTCTAACGCTCGGACGACTATATTTCGTATCTTTGGAACGGCAAGCCTGACCTGGCTAGCGGAAAGTGCTGGGTTTATGATTGGGGGTCGCAGGACCTCTGTACTCTCCGCAGCTGCTGTTGCGGATACATTGACTGCGGTAACTTTCCTCTTAGGTGGGGAGGAAACACCGTCTTCGTTTTCTGCTGCTTCTTCGAGTGTTGGATTACGTCGCTTATTCCCGAGTAGAACCGCCGCAAGTCCTCCTTTTGGCAATCCATCGTACGGTCGAGAGAGATCAAGGGTGCTTTGGGGGCCAAACCCCGCACCTGGTCCCGTAGTGATTTGTTTGGCTAAGAGCTGTGCATTTGGTAAGTTTGACGTGGTAGCTGATGAAACAAGCACTGGAGTGACCCGTTTCCTCCCGTCTTTTGTGATGGTAATTTTCTGTACAGCCCTTTTCTCCGGTTTTGGTTCTACGGTGGGCTTGGGATCCGGGACAGCTGGTTGAGAATTTGAGTCTTGCCCGTGGATCTGCATTTGCCATTGGGCCCCAACCCCATTTTGTGCTGTACCACTCATGATGGTATCTCCGTTCGTGTTTCCTCCGCCATCCATCATGAGCGCTCCCATACGCCCTTCTACCTCCCTTCTTTCCTCTTGTTTCCCCTTTTCTTCCAATAGCAGGAAATCAACGCTCTCCGGAATACCCACGCCTTTTCTTGCCGTGCCGAACTTCTGTAGCAGCCTCTCATTCTCTTCCAAACCAACAACATAACCAAGGTCCCCTTCCTCAAAAATGATGGCGACAACGTTGCCATCTAAGCTGGTCGCAAAAAGAGACCTACCGTCTGGACTCCAGGCGAGATCGGATATCGTCTTAGTTGCCAAATTTTGGGCGATAACCAGTGGCCGGGGGCTCGACGTGTTCCAGAGGGAGAGTGATTTATCTTGACCAGCACATGCAATGACCGTTGTTAAGTGAGGCATCTGGCCTGGGACAATGCCGTTCTGGGGTGGCCACTGCTCACGCGAGAACATTCTTGGGGCAAAAGAACAAACTTCGACAGGTCCTTCGTGTCCAATAAGGTTGATGTCACTATCCCAAGTACCACGATTAATGATGGCGACAGACGAAACCGGGCCGTTCGTCGCATTAGCAGCTGCGATGTGGGCGCCATCCGGTGACCACGAACACCGTCTAAAGTAGGTTGTTATCGGACTTTTGGTGAACGGCTTTGTTATGGTGGTCTCCGTGACAAAGTTTGCGCCGACATCATGCATACTAGTATTTGCAGCAGGGGGTGTGAATCGGAAAACTTTGATTGACCTGTCGTCCGAAGCCGTTGCGAAGTACTTATTCGCGGGGTCGAACGTAAGCCCTTTGACATGTGACTGATGAACATCGAGGCGTTTCAAGCGCTCAAAAGTACTCCCAGACCAGATCACAACTTTTGAGTCTAACCCGACCGAGACCAGTATCGATGAGTCGGCGGACCAACCGACATCTTGTACATCGTTGTCATGACCTGCAAGTCGTCGATACGTTCTCCATGTTTCGGTATGGCCTGGTTCCGAACTTCCAAATTGAGGTCGAGAAGGTGCAGCATTTAGATCCCGTTCGTAAATCAATACAATCTTATCATCAGAGCCGGATGCGAGATATCGGTTTGTACCGGACCAGCGGACCGCTAGGACGGCGCCTGTTATTGGATATCAATTGATAGAATATGTTAGTCGTCTGCTATATGAGTATTTCCTCCCAATATATATGTATATAGGTATATATATGTATGTAACGTGGATGGTCATACCTGTGTGTGTATTCATAGAACAGAGCTGCCGAGGGCCCTGGTAGCTCTGATCACCAGCTTTTAGGATGGCTTCTGTGGACCAAATCCTGACAGTCCCATCTAAAAGGATAATAATTCTGAGTATAAGAATAGACCGCTACCTAGGAAGGATTGTGTTTTGCATACCGAGGCCACCAGTGGCGAGTCGCTTGCCATCAGCGGACACATGACAGGTGTAGACTTCGAAGCGTCTCTTTTCCTCTAGAATACCATCCCGTCAGCTCTCTAGGCCATCTACATTGAGCTTTCGTAAGAGAGCAGGGATATAGACGCGTAGGCCAACAAAGATCTCGTACCGGCGTGTGCTAACCAAGTTGGTTTTATGATTAACATGGCTGTTGCGAGAATGGTCCAGAGACCACGATCATTTGCGACGAGACTCGAGGCTAGCTGGTGAAGAATGCGAATGTGGGAAGGGACGCGACTTTTGATGTAGATTCTGGTCGGAGAACCGAGGCGAAGAAGTAGAATATGACTTGCTTAATTAACGAATGTCGGGAGGCGGAGGAGATTATCTAATATCCTTGGGGATGTATGCAGTGGATTGTCCTAAGGAGAAGAAGGACAGGAATCGCGGCTGTGGTTGGACGTGCGTGAGTGAGGAACGTAAGGTTCGAAGTTCGAGGTTCGAGGTTCGAGGTTGGGTATTAGGGTAGTTGGATATGTGGAGTTGGCACGGCCACGGAACATGCTAATCATGCAGAGCTACGCCTACAATTGCTGTTGATTCTTAGTTCTTCCACATCACCATACACTATTACTTTTAACCTCATCGCCCAGCAGTTTTCTGGCTTCTAGCTTTGTACATTGAACAGTATGATTCCCCACCTTATTGCGCTTAACTTAGCACCAGGTTGCTCTAGCTGACCATTTTGTTGCAGACTTGTTTTCGGTGTACTCAACGGCTCCATCGCTTCGAATCCGCCTGCACATACACAAGCATTTCCATCCATAAACTTCGCAACTCCCCCGTCGCTTTCGCCCGCCTTCCTTCAACTCTTTCCTTACACCTGAGGGTTTTCTCCAAGAGGTCTTCGTCTTTATACGAGTATGTTGTCTCAAGCAGTCCTAAGCTCGCGGTCCCGCCGTCAACCCCCGATAGTTTAGTCACACTTTCGAATCAACGCTGTTGTCCTAAATTTTCCCGATAATTTCGCTAACAACCTCAATCTAGTGGAAGAATTCAACTCAGAAACTGACAGTGACTACTCGAGCTACTGGAGAGATTGGGTAGGACTCCTTTGTAAGGTCGGACTTTTTTTTTTTGGAAAAATTGCTGACAATTTGGCCTTGTGCTATTTCATCGAGCAGTTTATTTCATCGAGAGGGCACGAATATTTTTGCGAAATCGACGAAGAATATCTTACGGATAGATTCAACCTGACTGGCCTCAATACCGAGGTTCAGTATTATCAATATGCACTTGACCTTGTTACAGATGTCTTCGATTTTGAATGCAATGATGATATGAGAGAGCAGATTGAGAAGTCGGCAAGGCATCTATATGGTCTAGTTCACGCTAGATACATCATCACAACAAGAGGCCTACAGAAAATGGTATCTTGTCCTTTCTCTAATCCCTTTGCTTCGGTCTATCTCCATTAACTTTCGATCATAGCTTGAGAAATATAAAAAGTGTGACTTCGGCCGATGTCCTCGCGTCCTCTGCTCCGGCCAGCCTCTCTTACCGATTGGCTTGTCTGACCTCCCGAACGTCAAATCTGTCAAACTCTACTGTGGTCGGTGCGAAGATGTTTATGTTCCCAAGTCTTCACGGCATGCTGTTATTGACGGCGCCTACTTTGGTGCATCCTTCCCACACATATTATTCCAAGTATATCCGCAGTTGATACCGCAGAAAAGTACAGAGAGGCACGTACCAAGATGCTTTGGGTTCAAAGTCCATGCGTCGGCTGCTTTGATTCGATGGCAAGAACAGCAGAGGGTGGCGCAGCGAAGACGCTTAATAGAAGCTGGTGTCGAAGTCCCAACCCCAGAAGAAGCAGAAAGGATGCAAGATAGTGACGATGGTGAGGAGGAGGAAGTCGATCCCGCGGAAGTTGAAGAGAGGCAGCCTAGCTGGTAGGACCATTTAGAATGAAGATCTTGCTTGCGAGCTTTCATATGGGTTGATTTCTGGAAGCAATAATAGTAGAGTGGCAAAGTGTGGCCTCCCCCTTTCCTCATCCTCCTCATCCTCCTCACCCTCCCTTATGTTCTATCGCTTCTCTTTAGCGCAGGCTAGCTCGAATATATCCTTAGACTCTTTGAGGTTCCTTTATCCGAACAAGCAGTAAGCACAAACTTCCCTAGCTTCTATGAAGACTAAAAGCTAAGAAGAGTCGACCATCCAAGCTCAACTCTCCCAAAACCTAGCTCCCATCTAGCCTTTCTCTATTCTCCTAGCCTACAAAATTATCTTCATTTAAAGGCTCAAACAAGGGCCACTTTTAATTATATGAGTGTCTCTGAATTCAAGGGGTGTGGGTATCGATACATATCAGATCCGGGTAGTCAATTGGGGGCTTCTTGGTCCCTTATATATATATGATCGCGATCGTGATTGTGCACTGCTTGCAATTGTGATCACGGGCGACTTATATAAGTAAGTAAGTCACTTATAGACAGACGCCTCCGGACCTGCACTTCCCATGAATCCACATGCACATGCATACATTTAAAGGTTTGAATTAGTATTCCGGGGACCTCGGCATCATGCACCAAGTAAAAAGTATTTAAATTCAAATACCGAGTACTAAGTAAGTACTTAAGTATATAAGTAGGTAGTATATATACGTATAGATCAGCTTGTGTAACCAGCCCGGACGGCAACCATGGGACGCGAGTGTGTTGCGTTGGATGTTCGAACATCAATCAGCCGACATGTTCGTGTGACGTCGTCCGCGTCCGTGGCGAGATGTTTGAACATGTTCGGCCGGGCAGCCGTCTCACATGGAGGGGCACCCCGCCAAGCTATTATATCTTATATCGATAAGCTCTGATATGAATCCATCCTACGATACAATACGGACAAGACTAATACTGCCACTTGTAAGTCAGTACGTACCTAGGTAAGTACATATACCTACATAGTAGTATATATATTAAGTAAAGTACTTGCTTGGTACTCATGACAAATGTCCTGACCGGTAGCTATAGGCATCGGTATCCTATTTCCTGTTTTCGGGACACACGCACACAGGTGGCTTAAGTACGTTCGTTACTCACGTTTTTTAGTTCAACTTCACCCTCTTCCGGCCCACAAGCGCAAGCTTACACTTCGAATCAGCATAGATATTTCGACGATATCGATATACCCATACTCAATCTTTTGGATAACTGGTCATTGCAAACACCATGTTGAACGCTTCATGGCGACCCTGGGTCGCCCTTCTAATTCTTCTCTTTTTTGCTGTCAGACCCACTGCCGCCTTTGGTGCTGGCAATATTGCTTCGATTTCAAAAATCGAAGGCAAGAACTTCCGCCATGGGGATATCGAAGATATCCTCAAGGCTCTTCTTTTTCTCAAAGGTGGGAAGTGGACTAGCAAGCAGGTCAAGAGAGTATACTTCGTAAGTTATTTGCATTTAACATCGACGATTTATTTGGCGAGACTTAACAATGTCCTGTACTAGGGAAACTGGCTACGGGACTACTCTCAAGCACTAGATGTTGGGACCCTGAAAGGAGCGCCAGCTGGAACTATTCGTGTTCTAGTACGAATCATTCTTGAATTTTGATCTCATTTGACAATATCGATTTTAACTCGATTTTATAGGTCGCTGTCCTTGCTTTCCTATCTTTTGGTTACGGTATGCCCACTACCCCCCCCTTATGCTCACCTATTCAAATGTAGAAACATCATGCCTGACGCTCCACCCGCAACGTCTAGCTACGGAGGAATTTGAGGTTACCGACCAACGTTTGGGTGTATATCGCCCAGAAGAGCATATCGACAACCCTAAAAACTACGCTGACAACCTTGACGCCCGTGCATATGACCCGAGGCTTCGCCCACCAGTGGTCCCCGTTGAGCTTGCCGTCGACCCAGAGACCGGCATGAAGAATTATATCGCCAATGAGCGTGGTGGTTGGGCCACTTCTGCAGGATATATCAAATATTCTCTGGATCGGTCTATCCACTTTGGCAGGATGTACACATCGGGTGCTGAGGGGCTGAAAGGCAATAAGGAGGATTTATGTGAGGCTCTGAGGTGCCTTGGACAGGCCTTGCATACCATGGAGGACTTCAGTGCCCACAGCAATTATTGTGAATTGGTTTTAAAAGAACTAGGCATCGATGCATTCCCACATGTCGGTACCTCTTCTCATATCACCCTCACCAATGGAAGGAGAGTCTTCCCGCTTGTTACAGGTGCGTCATATGAATCAACATGCTGCATTAGCAAACCCTAAACTGACGCGCTTGGTAGGAACCTTTGGGTCCACTGACTTCCTTCACAGTGTAAGTAAATACCTTCTGTAGGAATCGTGCCGCTGTTACTAATGTACCGTTAGGTCCTCGGAGAAGCCCAGGATAAATTGACACAGAATGAGCTCGAAGAATTGGATCTAGCTATGGCCGAGGCCCAAGAAGATGATAAGAAGCGTACTAGCTCTAGCTCAGGTACCAGGGGCTTTGGGAGTAGTGGAGGGGGTAGTAGTGACAGCGAAATCCTGAAGGCATTGCTTTCCCAAATACCTGGAACTCAAGGACTCGGTGACGAGTGTAGCCGTCTACAAGCAGACGCAGACGCACAAAGGTTCGCAAACATGGATATTGGTGGGGGCACTCGTGCTGGATATGGCAGCTCTCATGGCGGTAGCTCTTATGGTGGCAGTTCTTATGGTGGCGGAGGAGGCAGTGTGAGCGACAAGATCGGTGCCTACAACCCCGAACAACTTATGCAACGTGTATGGCCGATTCTCCAATTCCGAGACCGAGTCTTTCGCGCAATAGAATCTGCGATTGAGAAGGTTCCGGGGCTCGTTGATGTTGTTGAGAAGATCTCTGAGCTCCTCTCCGTCTTCATCTTCAGCTTGCTTGCCCCAATCTTAAGACCAGTTATCGAGCAGGTTGCCCTGGAGCTTAAAAAGGGATCAAATGGCGTCCTTGATGCCTCAGCGGTATGTTGGCCTCTTTATGAAATTAGTCAAAATGCTAACCACGCTACTAGCATGCGCAATTCGAGCCTTGGAATGATCCCTTCTGTACTGATCCAACCCACTCCCTTCTTTCGAAAGATCATTTCTCCAACAGGCTCAACGAACCGGCGGGCCTGATAGCTCAAGCTGTCGTTAAATATGTTGTGCCACGTATCGTTTTCGCCTGGGAAAACCCCAATACTCCAGTCACAATGGTTCTCGACGATGTTGTCCGAGTTTTCCATCATCCTGCTTGCCGTGACCCGAGGCTTGAGTTGCACACCAGCATGTTCAAAGCGGTCCAAGATTGGGTCAATAGACTGCCTGATAAGGGTAGTAGACTCAATGTTTGGTTAAGTTCTGAAGGCGTCCGCACCGGGAAAAACCATACTGATGGTGTTATCGGTGGGGGTCATGATGGTGGCCATGGAAAGGTTCACGGTAGCGATCTCGACAAAGCTGGAGGTCGAGTGAAGAAAAAGAAGAAAGGTGATACATCAAATCTCGACCCCTTCGCGCAGCTCGCCGGCGCTGTTGGAGGACAACCTTTGCAGAATATCATTGGATCCCTGTTAGGGGGAGGCGCCGCAGCAGGCCTTGCATCTGAGTACTCTGGAAAGTCAAGTAAGAAGGATAAATACAAAGATTACGACTATGATTATGCAGGTTCAGAGAAGAAAGAAAAAAAGAAGGACAAGTACGATGACTATGATCGTGATCGGCGTGAGAAGAAGTCGAAGGATTACGACTATGAAAGATCGGAGAAGAAGAAGCACAAGTCCTCGAAGGATAAAAAGGAAAAAGTCAAGGATGACGACTACTATCGACGTAAAGCCGAGCGGAGAGCTAGGAAAGAGCGAGAGCGTGAGGAGGGATATGGAGAGAGGTAAATTTCAAATTTCCTGAGAACGCTATATCTCAAAACTAGCCCTTTCTACGATAAACTTTCTAACTCTGTGGATTCATCTCTTTAGGAAGCAAAAACATAAACACAGATCTAGGGCGGCTGATGGGGAAGGAGAAGAAGATTCTGATTCTGATAGCGACGATTCAGCCCTAGCATTTGAGGAAAGGCCGAGAAAGGATCGCCGCAAGTCACGCTCCTCGAAAGATAGAGACTACGATGAACCTTATAAGTCAAGCAGGGCCTTGGAGGAAGAGGGCGATTACTCGTCTCATCGTGGCTACGAGCAACCCTCCTATTCTAGAGATCTTCAAGGAAGCGGATACGGATATGCACCACAGCCAACAGCTGGTCCGGGGTACTACGGCGGAGAAAGTGGAGGCTATGGTGCACCCGCTCATGGCGGGTACGAACACCAGGGCTACGGCTCTATGCCTGGGGGGTTCCCAAGCGAGCAAAGCCACCATGGCGCCCCATACCCTACAGGGAATGCTCAGCCTTTTAATTTCGGGAGCGGTTACGTTATCGGGTCTGATGGGCAAGTTGGGCGTGATCGAGATTACGACCATGACTACACGAGTGGAAGAGATCGAGATATTAACTATCCTGATGAATCTGCTTACGGCGCTCCTCCCCCACCTCAAGATTTTGGATACGTTTCAGGTGGGTATGGTGATTATAGTGGCGGCGCCAGCGGCGGAGGCGGTGGCGGCGGAGGGTACACCGGCAGTGGCTATTCTGGCCACGAGCATAGATACGGTTATTAGTATCTTTCTTGCATATGTGTGTCTGTGTGTGTGTGTGTGATAAGTTTCCTTTTGAGAGATGGCTGTTCGTCGTGTTCCTTTGTCTATTATAGTTACTAGGACCAAATTTTGATCCCAGTAGATGCTATCGCTTTCGTCAAATGCTTTCACACTATTACGTCTGTTCCTTTTATGGTCATCGAATTCAAGAAAGGTATTCAATGACCAAACCATTGATCATGTATTAACTAAGTAAAGGCTCACTATGGAGAATGCAACGCTGTCTAAGAAAGCTGCCTGAATAAGGAAAGGACGCTCTTAACGCCATGCAAAGCATTCAAATCCGGGCCTTGGCCTGGAGTCCAGGTTGCATGTGCGAAATCAATGATCTTGAGATCTTCGATTTTCTTTGGCGGAGGCTTACTTTCGTCGTCATCTTCTTCGTCTTCGTCTTCGTTTCCGTCGTCTTCTCCTTCGGCTAAAGTGCCTTTTGATAGATCCTTCTCTTTTTCGATTTGCAAAGCCTGATCCAAGGCATCAATGTCACCTTCGTAAACGAACAAAAGACTTGCGGAGTACATCCTGCTCTCCTGATTTTCAAGAACTGCCTGAATCGCCGCAACTTTGTCGGCAAATCTCTTCGCAATGAATTTTGACTGCTCCTCGGAAAGCTTGCCTGAAAACAAAAATTCTTTGAATCCATCGACTGCATTATCAGCTGTGAATTGTCTACCGTAATTCTTATCATAGATCTGATACTCTTTATTCTCGCCTTTCCAAACTTTCATACCAGCGATACGCATGCCCAGTGAACGAGAGGTTGTTTTGTCGGAAACCTCATCTAAACGAGCTCGTTTTTCTAACGGAGCCTCGTCGTCCCAAAGCTGAGCCCCGAGCTTGACGTCCAAAACACAAGGTTTGGCAAACCCATAAGTGAGATTAGAAAGGACGATGGAAATTTCAAGAGGTTTTTTGGTTGTAACATCAGAGCGGGTACTCGTTTCTCCCTGGTCGGAAGAAGGGAGTGCTGAGGCAATTGCAGGAACTGGGGGCACGCCAGGTTTATCTCCCAGAGAAGCAGTGGTCTGGGAATTTAATTGAAGGGTGCCCATAAATGTCGGCATCCATTTGGCGAATTCGGGGTGTGATGCAGCGGCCTGATAGAAGCCTACTTCCTTTGGAAGACACGGTTTGATAAGGAGTGCCCCGGATTCGTCTCGCAGAACACCCTCGCTGGGGGTGAAATAGTTATGTTACTTCAGATGCAACAGAGCTGCAGAGGGGGAATGCATTCAACCGCGGGGGTTTCCCGGAAAAGAAAAACTTACTGGCCAGCAGCAGCATGGCTGAAGCGTTTGATAAGAGGAGGGGCAATGAATGGAGAATTCGAAATGCCGGACATGTTTTAATGTTAATGTTAATGGACGTTTACTAGGTTAATATTAATATTGATATATTAGTCTTGAGAAGAGGCCCGGGGAAGAAGTACTAATTACCTATGTACTTGGTGTTGGATATATGATTGGTACGATGTGATGCAATGCAATGGTGGTGGTGATGAAGACGATGATGGTGATGATGATGTTGTCGATATATTGTAGACGTCCCGGCCCACCTAAGTACTTAAGTACTAAGGTTGTTATGTGTGGATGTGGAGGGGCAGCATGTTGGAAGTTGCACAACAGCCAACACACACACACGAACATGTTAATTCATTCATTCATCCATCCATCCCGTTGCATTGCATTACATTGCAATTCAGGCAACTTAAAAGAGCTCGGAGGAGCTAACTTCTTAACTTCTTAACTTCTTAACTACTGAACTAAGTACTTCATAACGGGTAGGTATCATTATATTATTCTGCCTGGACTTTTACTTATTTAAACAACGTTTTTATAGATATTCTCATCTTCATCTTGAGCTTCATCTTTATCTTCAGTATCGCCAAAATTAAACAATTAAACTCAGCAATCATGCCTTCATCTGATCCTATCGATACCATCGTCGACCAGATCGACTCTTTGACCGTTAGAGCTTCAGATGCAAACAGTGCAAACACTCCTCCCTCTCCTCACCATCCTACTACTTCTTCTCCTGATCCTAAGGAGCAAGACTCAACACCAGCAACGCAAGCCAACAGCCATGGAGCTGCTACTGAAGCTGGTGATGCCCCCAAGAAAAAGAAGAAAAGGAGAAAGGGGGGCAAAGGAAAGACTCTCCCTAGTGGCTTTGAGGAGAACTTTGTTGAAGCTCCCTTGACAGCCGAAGAATATAACAAGGACAAGGAGCTCTACAGTGCCAAAAAGACAGTTGCTGAACGTATTGAGACTGCTGTTCAAAAATACAAGGCGAAAAGAAAGCTTGATCCACTTCGTCACCAGCTCTTAGAAGCTTACTACCACTTGGGCGGTATTAAGACTGGGGCTAAGATGTTTGGAGGTCTGGATCAGAAATTTATCAAGGAGAATGACACCGAAGAAATCGCAAGGTTCAAGGCGACCGATTACGTTCCTGAATCCATGAAAAACATTGGTATCCAGCGAGTTGAAGAGCTGGATGATGACTACGAGGATCCTGAATACACCGTAGACTTTGACTACGTTGTTCGAGCCTTTGTGTGAGTATTCTATGATCGAATTTTGCCCAAAAACGAAATCGGAGAAAGAAAAGGAAAATGAAAATGAAACAGACCAGTTATACTAACAGGGTACAATTAAAACTAAAACTTGAAAAAAAACTCTTAGGACTCACAAAATCCCATTTGACTTTGGCATGAAGTCTCCTGAGCAAATCGAGAAGGCCGTCAATACAATCAAAAATTTTCTCAACTATATTCTTTATCATAATGTTTGCCCTGAGTACACGGACAACATTAAACAGGCCGTTAAGACCTGCGACAAGGCGAATGAAGAACTACCAATCTGCGCTGCCCTCTCGGATAAGTTTCCTGGAGACTTCAACAAAGCCTGTTCGACCTTGTTTGGTGGTTATTGGAGTTATATGACTCCGCGAGAGTGGGAGAAAGTGGACGGGGAGCTAGACTTCAAAAAGCCAGAGCCTGGCTTGAGCAAGGAGAAGGCTTCGGAGATATATCATGCCCTTGTTTGCGAGCTACCTCACATTACTTTCGACATCAGCAAAACCCCCAGGGAGGTCTACAGAGAGTACGCTAGCTTGGAAGTTGTTTCAGTCTGGCTCCCGAAGCCAGGAAGCCCCCTCAAACTTGGAAGGATTGTCTGTAAGTCATGGACGCCCGAGGAGGCTCTACCAATAACCTCAAAGTGGAGCGAACCCAACAATTTGACTCTGTACTGCGAGAAGACCGTCGCGCAGTACGCCTATCCAAAGATGCACTTTGGTTGCACTGTCCATGAGCTGGATTATGGTCTTGTTTACTTCGACGAGATATCCGGGGTTATGTGTTCAAATTTTCTGGAGATTCGAGATGATAAAGAGTTGGAAGTTGACAGCGATGATTTTGATTTTGATTAATTGCCGCCAGCCATATGCATATATATGCATTTCGTCATCGCGTTATTTTGTTACACCCTGGTGTTATATTGTGTGGAAGGGTTGCGATGGGCGCTGGCGGGGTGGATTCGAGGCTACTGGCCGGGAACCAATAAACTCGATCGAAGTCTATGTATGCAACACACGCCTGTCTCCTAGCTCCTATTCGAATAGTGTTTCGCCATAATCCTTAATTGAGAGACAATGAAAAGCTTAAGCCGAAAGGAATCGAGCTAAATCATGATAGTCAAGGTATTATAGTACACTGGTAGTCACTATTAAAGCTGAAATATTGTCGTAAGATCATGATACATTCGGTTAAACAAAGTCGCCAAACTCGTCGTCGAACCCAGTTATCCTTGTAGACGTAGGGGGGGCAGGGATGCCAACGAATGCAGACTCTGCTGCCATTTCGATTTCTGTCATGCTCTGTCTCTTTTTCTTTACAGCATCGGCAGTGGGTGGCGGCGGCAGAAAAGGTAACGGAAAACCGTTGGTGGAGTCTGACGCAGGTGTGGGAGAAGTTGGGGGTCTACGTCTCCCCTTATTCTATAAATCCCCGTAGGTGTGAATCAGCGTTTGTGTATTTCTCAACTATACGACTATACATATAGACTCTGAGGTTGAGAAAAAACCATACCCCGATAGTTATATTTATCGTTTCGCCATCTTTTAGCGAGTAGTCCTTTGGTGGCGCATGCAAGACGGCAGCAGCCACCGATGAGGGTTTTGCGGGTTGGCCGAGGGCTGCTGCATTTCTACCAGTCCCATAAGAAGTTTTTCCAGTGGCCAAATTGTTTGCAGGGCCACCGTGCTGGTCTTCCAGATTGTTATGCCTACGAACTTCTTGCAGGCATACGTTGAAATCAAATGCATCGGATCGTTCCTCGAAACCAATTCCTAGATAGGCACGACGAGCTCCGTCTACGACGCGCACAGCAAAAAAGCGGGAAGAGTCGGTCACCGGAGAGACACAATATGGGCCCTAATTGAACCACGATAGGGTTGTGTTAGACTCAGTCGAAACGGCTGGTTTACTAATAATGGACCGGGGTGAGCACCTCATACGGACCATTGGCGAACAACTCGCCAGATTCAGGGTCCTCTAGCTTGATATTGGTTTTGACATTTCCGCCGTCGATATCGGAGGTTTCTATGACGCGAATACGAGCTGTGAAAATAATGGACTTGGGGTCCTCGATGCGCCATTCAGCGGCTTTGTAGCCCTTATTTGCAGTGAGAGGTGGGACGGCATAGCAATGGACTCTACCGAGGAAGAGGACGTTTTCGATCTTTTCGTCGGCCATCACGGATTCGTCGCAGTTCGCGGGGTGGGTTTATTTTACGTTGGCGGCATGGTAGAGAAGGGGGAGGGGTGTTGGAAATAAGTAGAAGAAGAGGGATCTTGTGGATCAAGATGGAATGTCCATCGAAGGCTATTATTATAGTAGTACCTAAGGCTCTAGGGGCCAAAGAAGGGAACTTTGGGCTGCCAATGGCCCAACATGCAACCCAGCATGCAAGTGCTGGCACTGCTGCTGTGATTGGATGGTCGTACCAGGGCAATGCTAGCGTGCATACCAACAGGGATGCTTGGTGGCGGGGTATATTGAGTATACACAAGCAAGTCACTGAGCTGAGGAGAGCTAGATTTGAAGCTGGCTAGGAGGAGTCGATAGGGAGACAAGAAATCTCTTGATCACCACTTCTTAAATTCCCGTGTCTGAGTCCATGCATTTTCGGCCATTCAGCCGTCCTAGTTTCCCCCCTTTTAAGGTCCTTAGAAGGTTTTATATCCCATCGGAGGCACCACGGGAGCAATGGAGGGAAATGTGTTGTTGTGTTGAGGTGAGGTTGCTGGTTGTTATCGATAAGCACCTCGACTCAGCAAAGCAACTGGGTAGCAAGTTTGTCGACGTTTGTTGACGTTTGTCCGCTTTGGGCTGTCCTGACCTTCCCACCACCACCGCTGGTACTATACATGGTACTAGTTGCAAACCAAGCCGAGCTTCAAAGAACAAATCCAAAAAAAAAAAACATTTGCATTCAAAGTCAAGCCTCAATTGTGCATCGCATTGCAGACCATCAACAACCTCATCAAGATTTATATCGTCACCGTCGCCCTCTATCTAACAGCTCTCTAGTCGTATCGTTTCTGCTCTAGCGCACCGCTGCCACATCAATAATCCACTACCTTTTGTCACTTCAAAATCAAGTCCGAAAAGCTATTGATATCAAAGTATGGCTGCGGTTGCTACTGCCAGTGAGTCACCACCACCACCATCATCATCATCATCATCATCTAGAATCAAAAGAAGCCCTTTGAACAAACATAGAGAGTTACTTATATAGGGAGTTATCCACTAACATATACATATCCGTTTCAGCTCTTCCAAAATTGGAGGTACCTACTCCAACCGATGGAGTCGTCATCGTTGACCCATCCACAGCAAAGCCAGGAGTTGTCCAGTTGAACACTGGTGAATTCGAGTTGGTCCCCTATTCTTCTCTTCGATATTTGATTTTCCCTAGGTAGTGTGGGTTTTCTAAACGGTATTTGCCGCACATGTAGCATCCGAGAAGTGTACCTCACCTACTTACGAAATGACCATGATCTCAGTAAGTGTTTGTTTCCTTGATTTCTTTCTAAAAAAAAGTTCTTGGTAGCTCCTTCTAACGCTTGGACGCTGGCCGAAATAGCTATGCCGGTTGCGGCCATCAAATCTCTTGTGGACCTCGTCGAACGTATAAATTCACAGACGACAGCTGAGTTCCTCGATGTTCTCAACCGGGGTATCGATGCCCTCAAAGAATCAATTCGTAATCCTATATCGCTCTCGGCAGGCTGTGACCTGTTTCTTCGCTTCATCGTCCGGTTCCTTCGGCATTCCCAGTCCATGCCAAAGCTCGTCGCGCATCTTAAGCAGAGCTACAAGCTTTTTGGCACGAGGGCTAAGGACTCTCGAAAAAAGCTCGCCAATATTGGATCGAAATTCATTACTGATGGGTGCACGATCATGACTATTTCTTATAGCAGAGTTGTGTTGGGAATGATGGATGTTGCTTTGAAAAATCACATTAGATTCCAGGTTGTTGTCACTGAAGGCTCTGGCGGAAAGAGACTTGCCTCGATCCTGAGAGAAAGGGGAGTTCCGGTGGCAATTATTCCGGAGGGAGCCGTTGGTTACGCCATGAACAAAGTCGACTTTGTCCTCATAGGTGCAGAAGGAGTTGTCGAGAACGGGGGCATTATTAATGGTATGGGTTCAAGAATGCATCACATCCTTCACTCAAAACTGACTTGATGGGGATAGTCCTTGGAACTTGCCAGATGGCGACCCTTGCGAAAGCAGCAGGCAAGAGCATTTACGCTGTTTGCGAAACCCACAAATTTGTTCGCTTGTATCCCATCGACTGTGAGCTAAAACCTTGAGCCGGTCCCGCTTGAATTCCCTTAATGTGCAACGACTAATCTTTTATAGCATATGACCTGCCCATTACTCAAACCGTGATCAACTTTTCGCTCGATGACACAAAAGAGCAACAACCGGCCAAGAAGGATACAATTGAGGAAGCCGAGCGAATTGGCAACGATAGATTTGTAGATTTCACACCGCCAACACTGCTGACTGCCATCATTACTGAGGCAGGTGTCCTTACACCTAGGTATGCCCCGTCTTGGAATATGATGCAAAATAACATGATGCTGATTTTATATTGAATAGTTCTGTAAGCGAAGAGCTCCTTAAAATCTGGTTTTGAGAGCCAATACGGAAGAAGAAAGAAAGAAGAAATTATTGTGCGAAGCTGCGAGAAAGGGTACTGGCGGTCTGATCCTGGCGTTAGGAGTTTTTAAATTCAAAGAGGCCGAGTCCTTATAATTACACGAAAGCTATTTGTGCGTTTTTGATCGCCCGGGGCGTTCGGAGGCGTTCGGAAATCACATACATTCATGTAAATAACTATGCACATTTCTTAACAGCCGTTGTGTTGCGCGTTGGGTTTTTACACCCAGCATTGCTTCTTCTTCTGCGCGTCATTCAATTGGACATAAATTTCCATGAGCGTTCCTGCTCTCCTCCACCTCTTGACCAGTCGACCCCGCAATCCTATCATCTCTGGCAATCACAATGACCTCGCTCGCCCGCCCTACCACTCGGGCACTCGCCTACCCTACACAGCCTTACCTCTTAGCTGCCGCGACGAGAGCTGCTTCTCTTTCAACAGCTAGAAAGTTGGCCATTTCCAACTATCCTTCTCGACCTCAGGCATCCCCCCCCACGTTAAAGTCTTCCCCGACTGCTTCGCTACATGGATCGAACAAAAATTTAGCAACATCTCGGAATGCGTCCTCTTATGTGGCCGGTGGCAGCAGCCTCGGTTCCTCATCTTACTTTACCGCGCCTAGCCTTCCCGCCAATACTATCATCCGGTTCGTCTGGTTCCATAGCCACGTGGCTATTGCTAGTGAGTTAATAGTTGGGTTATAGATTTGTGCCTCAGCAAACAGCGTGGGTTGTAGAACGTATGGGGAAATTTCACAGGTAAATTATGGTGTCTATCATTGTATCTTGTTAGCATAGCTAAATACTGGACAGAATTCTCGAACCTGGTCTAGCGATATTAATCCCGATCATCGACAAGATCAAGTACGTTAAGACGTTGAAAGAAGTCGCAATCGGAATTCCATCTCAGTCAGCTATTGTCAGTTGTGCCGACACTCCATCAAGGAACCAGAACTAACGCGCCACCATAGACAGCAGACAACGTTACTCTAGAACTCGACGGTGTTCTATATATCCGTATTTTCGATGCCTACAAAGCTTCATATGGGGTTGAAGATGCTGAATACGCTATCTCCCAGCTCGCACAAACGACTATGCGTTCGGAAATTGGCCAATTGACCCTCGATCACGTTCTAAAGGAACGTGCCAACCTTAATACCAATATTACTATGGCGATTAACGAGGCCTCACAGGATTGGGGCGTTAAAGTGCTAAGATACGAAATCAGAGATATACATGCCCCCGAGGCTGTATTGCACGCCATGCACCGACAGGTTTCGGCGGAAAGATCGAAGAGAGCAGAAATATTAGAGTCTGAAGGTCAGAGGCAGGCGGCCATCAACATTGCAGAGGGAAGGAAGCAGAGTGTTATTCTCGCCTCCGAAGCCTTGAAGGCGGAGCAGATCAACAGAGCAGCTGGTGAGGCCGAAGCTATCCGATTAAGAGCAGAGGCTACAGCGCTTGGGATAGAAAAGGTTGCGGCTTCGATCCAGGCCGGCGCGGATAGCGCTCAAAACGCCATCAGCTTGTCGGTTGCGGAGAAGTACGTCGACGCATTCAGCAAGTTGGCCAAGGAGAGCAATACTATCATCATCCCAAGTCAGATGGGAGATGTTGGGGGGATGATCGCTGGCGCTATGGGAATCTACGGCAAAATTTCGGAACAACAATCCAGGAACCAGGTCATCCTGGATACGAGTGTTGTTGAGGAGAATCTGAACCAAAAGTGGAGAGAGAACTACGATAAGAAAAGGAAGGAGACAAGCTTCAAGGACGCCTTATTAGAGGAATTTGACTCCGCGAAGGATAAAGATAAGGAGAAGAAGAGAAAGTAAATTAAGGATGGTCTGACGGATACGGAGCCTAGGGACTTACCTACTCCGAATATGACCGGTCGCGGTTCTAGCCGTGTAATGGACCCTTTTGTACGTTTCTTCGACGTGACATCCATTGTATAGTTTTCTCGCCTTACTGCATATTGTTCTCATGCGCCCTTCCTCTGCCATTACATGCCACCAGTCGACGACACTCAACTCTGCTCCTTTCTTTGCAGAATGTTGCAAATCTCGGCTCACTAGAGCTTATAGGTGTAACAAACCTTGGCGTGTTACAAGACGAGCTCTTTGGACGATTGTATATATGTTGGCCAATATGTACATTTTTTTTTTTTTGTGGTTTCCACCACTCGTCCTCGATTAGCTAGCATCGGTCATGATAGTTTGCTTGCTACGTGGACATGTAAATACTTACACCTTTGAGGAGGAACAAAATCATAATAAAAAGAAAGGAACACTTGCTAGCCAGATGGTTATTACACTAGGGTCATAGGAGTGCTCTTGTCTATCGAGCACCGAGCCGATTAAATTGTGAAGTTCCGCTTAGCCGGTGGTTAGTATCCACATAAAAACGAACTGAACGACATAAGAATAGATGAATAGGAACTGTGTTCTTCGGTTCCTTTGCGCCCTCGCAACCGCTTGTACGGTACCCCGCGGGTTGTCAGTCGAGGTTTCAGGAAGAAGGACATATTTCAAACTTCGTAGCTAAGTGTTTTCCGAGTCGTCTTAGCGATAATACTACCAAAGGTAAACCCATAGAGGACACTGTTAACTTACTAGAAAGAAGGCATTTGACGAAAAGAAATAAAAGAAACCCAGGAATCGTAGCCATCCATTCGAAGACAATTCTTGAATCAAGATTGTGGCTATTATACCAACAAACTTGTAACCACTGTACGCTACCAAGTCTAGTAGTTGGGATTCGTTATTGATATTCAAAAGATAGCAACCGAATTTCAGTCCTAAGATTTCTAACAGGACGATCGCGAAAGCCGTGGATGCGAGCTTGCCAAGTAGTTCGGGGTGAAAGTGACCACGAATACCTGCCAACATAGTATACAGCAAGATATACGTCACAAACGCCATGACCGGAATATACATATCCGGACTGTTCAGATCGTCTCGTGGCGGTAGAAACATCCCATCCGCCTGGCTCGGCCCTACAGCCTTAGGGATCCGGGTCCATGGTCGATGTCTCCAGGGGAATATGACGAGTCGGAGCTTATTAAGCACATAGGAGTTCGAAACATTGAAGTAGTGTTTAAGGGCCGTGTAATTAACATATCGGTTCATCTGGTCGAAAATGGAACCGTAAGTTGTGTGGCCATTGCATACAGTGACTTTTCGGAGGGGCGGCACGTGTTACTAACATTCTGTTCGATGTTTCTCATCGCAGACGCACCCATTTGCAGGCCGATTTGGGCGGCTGGCTCTGCCAGGAATCCGCCATAGGCAGGATGAATACTGTGACCTTGGTTATGCATTGGCACGCCTGTCTGCTGCTGATATGGGGATGAAGCGTAGGCAGAGCCTGATGATGTTTGAGAGAGGGGTGGAGGTGACCGCATTGTATGCTGGGGTATTGGATGCTGAGGGACCTGCATATTGTATAAACTAGTGTACTTTTTGTATTGACTTAGAAGGATTGGATGAACTTACGGGATGGTGAAGAAGCGGAGGGGAAGTGGCTGTAAAGGCAGGTCTCTGATGCGCCATCTTTCAAAGGGGTCGGTCGAAAGACCACTTGAGAACAGAGAAAAGGACAGCAGAGAAGAGGGGTGTATGCGTAGGGCTATAACCGGCCTAGCTGCTCGGGATATGTCTGTGAAGCTGGAAGAGGAAGGATGCGAATGACGTTGATGACAGGTGGTGGAGATCTAGATGATATGTGTTCTCGAGTTCCAGACATTAAGTAAGTACCTATTACTTACCTACTCAGACCCCAAGGGATTACGCCTTTACACGCGCTGGGCTGGGAATGCAACACAACCAAAGCATCACATCGCCAACTGCATGCAACCGCCTGGTTTGGCCTGGCCTGACCTTGACCGAAGCTAGCTATCGATATCGATATAATATCGACACTATAAAGAAGGGGAGGAGGAAGAGGAGGTGGAGGAGGACATAATTCGTGCTCGGCATCAATTGGATATCCTTATAGCCTAGAACCTCACCAATCCCCCAAATTAGAGCGAACAATGTTGCCTTTCTAGGCTGAAGACACAATACAAATATCGATATATCGCATCGCATCATCCAACCATGTACTGGCCGCTCAATGTTCCCAGGGTGTATACCTCCAAGCTGCCCCAGCACGCACTCGATGATTTCGCTAGAGAGACAGTACCGGCTTCTCCTCTCGCGTTTACTGCGAATACTCCAAGAACCCCAGCAAATCCTAGCCAGGACGACGATATCGGAGAACCATATGTAGGCGATACGCTAAATCCTCTGGAAACCGTTCCCGAAATTCCAGATCTGGAACCGAAAGAAGATGCTAAAGCCAGGAGAGAAGAGCCAATCGAGGAAGTTGATGAAGAAGCCGATGAAGAGGCAGTGCTGGTTGAGAGATATGAGAAGTCTTCGGTCGAGGATTGGGAAGATAGACATGCCGACCCGTCCAAGCTCCCAAACCGCGATGTCCTTGCCATCAAGATATCACGTAGTGGGTCTCTCTTCGCTACAATAAGCTCAGCCGAATTGGTGATATGGCAAACACGAGTAAGTCAAGCTCTTGACATCTCAAAATTTCGAGCTAGCATGGGCATAATGGTTTCCTCGTATTACGCCGACCAGCTAAGTTAATTAACCAAAGCTCCCAATACCCTGTAGCCTACTGCCGTTGTCGCCCAAGTCCTACGTTCTGCATCATCTCTTAAGCTTTATGGGCAGAATGTCGACGTCATGATCCGTCCGGACTCGCAAGTCTTCGTAGTTCAAACGACAGAGGGATATCTTATAACATACATTCTACAATCTGACCCTTCGAGCAAAGTCTACCGTCCATCGTTTCCGACTAAATCTCATGCCCATAATGCCATAGGGAATCATTCGAATCTAGTAAATGGTGCCACGGACGGTGGCGGGATAAAGGAGTATCTAATACGGTTCCGTATGGTCATCAAAATTGATGCCGGGATATCCAGGTATATACCTATTTGCTAATACAAGGTCATGATGGCTGCTGATGCATAATTAAGAGCATTGGCCTGGGACGACGAATTGATAGTAGCTACTTTACGCCCTCCAGCTATACAATGCATCCGTTGGACGCCAGATACCGCGTCTGGGCAGCAAACAAGTACAGAGCTGCTTAGCAGAATGAATTGGATACAGGGCAAGAAGGTCACGATTAGTGAAATGGTCCATGATCGCCCCATGAACTTAAGCACATGGGTAACGAGCGATGGACGGGCATATGCAGTCCAGAGACTACCATACACAGTAAGTCCGGAATGCTGAGAGGCATATCGGCGTTCAAAACTAATACTACCTTAGGAAGCAGAGTCAACGGGCCGTTTATTTAAAGGATATTGCTTCCATAGCCCACAAACAGAAAATCTAATGGCGACGAAAGCTTCAATAAACGCACGATTTTCACTAATTGCTGTTGCAACTACAGGGTACGGTTTTATTTATTGTTTCGAGAAAGCCATTTACTTGCTAACTTGTTTAGCGGCAACCTATATGTCTATAACGCCCGTGACTATGTCGGAAACATCCCACTATCGCATACAATTATCCCTCCAGCATCAAAATGGTCGTCCGGGAAATTGATGTTCCTTGCGTGGTCGCCGGACGGATATGCGCTATTCGCCGGGTTTGAGAGCGGGTGGGCCCTTTGGACAACATACGGAAAATTAATAGGAAGTACCTTTTCCGCGGACAATGTGGAGAAGGAAAGGTTCAATGACGCCTACTTGGATGGTCTTTGCGATGGTGCATGGCTCCCTGGTGGGGTAGAGATTGCTCTGGTTAGTGGGAAACGGATGTCTGACGAAAGTATACGGAAAAGTGAGAACATCTACATTCTAGAGCTAGCTCGGAGCTCAGTGACCGGAATGTTCAATGCAGTAAGATGAACTCCATACTCTTCGATACGCATCATGGAATTAACGTTGAGGATAGCAAAATATCGCAAGGACAGTACTTCAAACACCTTCAAAGTTGCTGGTGTATCGCGGCTATGACCAGTCGGATCTTCAAACATTGTCAACGGAGCAAACCTTATGGTACCATGTACCAATCCCTCCCACTTACCTTGTTGACAACTATCCAATCCGGCAAGTTTCGATATCCCCCGATGGCAGGTATTTAGCTATCGCTGGGCGAAGAGGGTTGGCTCATTATTCAATACATTCGGGACGGTGGAAAACGTTTTTGAACGAGTCCATGGAAAGCGACTTCGTTGTTCGGGGTGGTATGTGTTGGTATCATCATATCCTCGTCGCCGCTGTCGAATCAGACGATATGTACGAGCTGAGGTTATACTCGAGAGAATTGCAACTCGACAATACTCTGATTTTGCATGCGGAGACTCTTCCAAGCCCCGTTGTTCTAATAACTTTGACTGGTGAAGACGGGTTACTGGCGTATACGCATGACAATGCGCTGTATCACTTCATTTTCACGACGACAAAGGACACGGTAATGTTAAGACTGGTCGGCCAAATTACATTCCATGGGATAGTACGGGCGCCTGCAAGGGTCCGTTCTATAAGTTGGATACTCCCAGAGGAGCAGCTAAGAGAAGGCGACCCATCGAGAGACGTTGCATTGGCCACGGTATTATTTTTGGTTGACGGAAAATTGGTGGTCTTGCAGCCCTCGACGACAGAAGGTGGCGAGTTGAAGTACGAAATGAGAGTACTGTTCCAGAACGTAGAGTATTACATACTCATGAGAGATCTCCCGGCCACTCAGAGGCAGTACATATTACCACCAGAGGAATTAAACGGATTCCCTGAGCAGGATCTGAATGATTCGCTATGGGTCTTCGAGGGACAAGATTTGCGGGTTTGGATGGACGTGAAGGACCTTTTGGCGGGTTCAGTGGAATCCAAAGAGTTACCACCAGCTGTGAAAGTTCCCGTTGATTTCTACCCGCTTTCGATTCTATTGTCTAAAGGCATAATTAGTGGCGTTGAGGTTGAGATTGTCGAAAGGAGAGATGTTACCTTTTCATTTTTCAGGCTAGGATCGAGGGTAAGAATTCAAATACTTCTTTCCACGATTCAGCGGCTAACCGTTTTTTAAATTCTTTTTTCAATAGACGCATCTCTTTTTCAATTATTTGCTTCGTCACCATCTTCAAAACCGGAACGAAGCTGCTGCCATCGGTCTTGCAAGGCAATATGAAGGAGTGTCGTACTTCGAACATGCACTCGAAATACTCCTGCACGATGTGTTGGATGATGAAGCCGACACACAACCAGAACAAGAGGGTAGGCTCGACCCATTTTCGTAGGATGCTAGCTTTCATACTAACTAACTTGTACTAGTTGCTGTCCTTCCTCTAGTTGTACGCTTCTTATCAAATTTCCCAGAATATCTCAACGTCATTGTGCAGTGTACAAGGAAAACAGAAGTGGCATCGTGGTCACATTTGTTCTCTGTGGTGGGCTCACCTCAAGTGCTATTTGAAGAATCTTTATCTCGAGGCTTGCTTAAAACTGCCGGAGGCTATCTGCTGATCCTTCATACGATGGAGAAACTGTCGTCATCCTCTCAAGATATGGTACGGCTATTCTCAAGAGCCGTTGCGGAAGAAGATTGGGACCTTTGCAAAGAACTTGCCAGGTTCCTTACTGCGCTTGATAATAGCGGCAAGACGCTTAAGGAAGCCCTAGAACTCGTAGAGTTAAGAAGCCCGGGTGGCGATGAAGAAAAAAGTTTTATGTTTGAGAGCGCAAGGCGGTTGGAGCTACCAACGGCCTCGGGCGGTAGCAGTCGGGATAATTTAAGTCCAATCAGTGCGTCGTCGAGGGGTGGGAGTCCGGGTGGAGGGAGCTACCTCGATGTGCCTTGAGTAAAGGCGCACACAGATAGTATGCGGCAGTGACCCGTTGGTTTTTCACTAAGAAACTCGGATGTTATTTCAGGCTCAATTCCCTTCTGGGGGTCACCCCTCCTATCGTTTCTCTGGAATAACAACATCAACTGGAAGATATTACTAGGACGGCCACGAGCAGGTACCATTGAACCGCTTTGATGACAGTATACTCGCAATGTCAGCTAGTCTCGAGACCGGGAATCTGTATGCACGTTACGTATAGAAAGTGTGGCAACGTCGAGGGGGTTTTTTTTTTTAAAAAAAAAAACCACATGCATAAGCTTTAGCTTAATAGCTTAAGAAAATGGCATTCTTAGAAAGATAAAATTAGCCTAAGGTACCTACCCGTAGACTAAAAAGGTATAGGTCTCCTTTATATGTATAATACATAAGTAGGAAGTCAAGTGCGCCCTAACTCCTAAATAATCCCAATGGCCTTCACCATATCCTCCCATTTGATACCGCTATAATCTACGGCCCACCTTCGGCCTTCCTTACACGCCTGACTTTCAATATGCTGAATGAGCCCGCTCAAGACCGAGAACTCTTTGCCACAGCGTCGGCAAATATAATGTATTTCCCCATTATACGTGGTAAGCGCCGGCTTCCAACCATTCCCATTTGCAGAGCTCAGATCCGAATTCGATCCCCCACCCCCCAATCTGGAGTGATCGCCTTTTCTCCTATGCGTTTCTATATCTGCCTTATTATTCTCAAAGCTAGAACCCTGAGGACATGGGAAGCACACTTCAGGTCTTTGGAATGAAACTTTGCACCTAGTCCTTTAGACTGTTAGATCCGTTCTAGACGAGAGATTGATATAGTATCAGAAGGGTATACTTTAGAGAAGGGGGGCAAGTGATGAGGTTGTCTCGATCCAACCTCTTAACAATTCTGAAGATTTTGATCCCTCCTGGTCCACATCGCGAATTCTCAAGGTGGTGGACGTATGCGGACGTCCTCCCAAACGGTCGAGAGCAATTATGACACACCCTTGAGCTGGGTAGGCTTGGTGAATTTGGCTCAGTTTCGCCGTGGGTTTCATTTTCCTGTTCTCGCTCAAGAAACCGGCGCCTTCGAGATGGTAGTTGGTTTATCTCTGGATTATATCTGGTACCATCGTCATCATCCCCGTCATTGCCTCCATGCGCATGCCCAAGCCACTCGCTCCTTTCTCGGAGGGGGTTCGAAACTGTAGTTCGATGGATTTTTTGATGCTAGACGTTTTCGAAATCAATGATCAGTTCTGTTCTTCCGGCTGTTCATTGCATTTTGCTTTTGTCCAGCGTTTTGCTTATAGCACTTATCAGCAGCCTACCAGCTTTAGGCCCCCGCTGGACCGACACTTCTTCTGGCAAAAACTGCAAGAGTATCCATGGACAATCTTGAAATGTTCGTCGGCTTCGAGGGCTGTATAGAAGGCATTTCCGCAAACATGGCAGATATGACCATGTCGTCTACTGTTGTTCACTGGGCTGCGTCTGCAAATTCGACGCCGGCTCTCGAAGGATGGTTTTTGGCAGCAGTAGTTGCAACACGGCATTTTCTCTCGGTTTGGGTGTTTAGTTGAAGCGAAGGGTGTGCAGGAAGTGGAATCGTGATGGTCTTCGAATGAAGCCCCGCTGAGAAGTTCTATAAGGTCGATATGATAGGAGTACACAAAACGAAACCTAGCACCTTATGGTGACATATCACGACTATGCATGGCGAATCGCCGAGGGGAACTTTGGTAGATGAAATGCGTGGTATTGCAGGGTGCTAATGTACATGTTATTGACCATAAAAACGCCATAACTCCACTTCGACGTAGGCGTTAGGAAAGCGAAAGTGAGGGGACATACATCCAACCACCCGTCGAAGCTACTTCCCCGTCGCAGTCGAAACACTTTGTTAACAAAGAACAGCCAGACAGTGTGATATTTGATATCTTTCAGTTCAAAGGTTGGAAGGATATGTCTGACCTTTTGGGAGAGAAAAATAGAAACGTGTCGAAATTTCGATGAATTTGTGAGAGTTCGTCTCTTGTAGAAGCCTATATCTTCTTCTTGAGAGGAGCTGGTGGAGGTAGCATTAAGCCCGTCGTCTTCCCCTCTCCGGTATCGACCCTCTTGTTGCCAAATTTCGATTGGTCCCCAACCTGTGTAAAGGTTCCACTCTGAAACCATTTATCCGATTCAGCCTTTCGCTTTCGTTCCATCTCCAATTTGACTTTCGGGTCGACAAGTTCAATACCCTGGACCGGTGTAAATGCCAAACTACTTGCCGTACCGCTAACGCTAGCAGTACTGCGCGCACCAAACGAACTCATCATACCACCAGGTGTATTCTTGAATGGGTTGATGACCGATTGGTTCCCGCCGGCTGATGTACCCCAACCAAGGTTATTCTTGCTAAGTTTAGCCCTTGTCCTAGGATCAACTTTCGTTGCTCTAATTTTCCCGCTATCTTGCGCTCCAATCATTCCCATTCCCTTCGTACTGTCTCCATATGAAACTTCCCTTTCAGCCTCGCCAAACACTAGTCTGTTTTGTTGTTTGCGGAGATCCGTCATCGCAGTTGCCTCCTTCGCTTTCCTAACTCTCCTGCCACCACGCTTCCGAGCAGGTTTATCGTCTGGTGCGGGCAAAGCCTTAGGCCCTTTGTTTGGTGGCGGCTCTGTAAGTTTATCTAAACGTTCGAGGATATCTTGCTTAAGAGTATTCCCCATCGACCCATCGGTGTGCTCATGGGCAAAGTCAACTCGGACGGCAAGAACAATTTTGCTGGAAACTATGCGCATTGCCTTAATCTTGAGATCATTGGGGATTTGTCGAATGATCGGCGAATGGTATAGGAATCCTTGTTGCCTGATACCGACATTGGACGCAAGAGTGACTGCGGCCCTACGCTTAACCCCCAAGGCTGAAATATTGCAGGCAGGCATTTTTGCGAGCCCGGACAGACCGCCAGCAAATCCAATCAACTGGGCAGCCGTGGTGGAGCCAATGATCGCCGAAGTGTTCGGTGCGAATAAAGTCATTCGCGAGGAGACATAGTTTATAATTGTATGTTTTGCTCGGTCAAGGGCCATAGTCATCTCGCAAGCACTGACAACGGTCGCTATCTCCTTATCGGACAGCGGCCTTCCCTTCGATGTTGTAGCTTCTACGGTCACCACCATGACAGTTGCACTGTCCAAGACGGCCCGAAGCTGTGACTGCATAGGTTGGAGATGAAGGTCATTTTTGATCACAGCGACGGTTTTGGCGTAATCCAACGGATTGGTAACCAAGTTTTCGAGTTCGGGGTATCTCGGCGAATAATGGTCGCGGATAAACTTGTGAACAAGAATAATCTCCGAATCAATTTCTACAGAGTGCTTATTGGACTCGACGATTAGGTGGTACTCCGGATTTTGTTCAACAGATCCGATGATGGAAGTTGGCGTCGGTTGAGACTGGTAATACGCGATTTTCTATTTGACTTGAAGTTAGTTTCTTTGCAAAGGTTAGTGAATCTACGGGAATGGATGTGAAAGTACCTCTAGAACCGGCTCAAGGACCTTCATCAACTTCGCGATACTCCTGACATCGTCCACCTTACCAAGCTGCATCTTTTCTATCCGCGCTTTTATCTGCGTCTCGTCTTCACCGTCGTCCCCGTCCCCTCCCCCCCCTGCATCCATCATCTCCTCATCCTCTTCATCCTCCCCATCCCCGTCGATGCCCATTCCATGTCGGCTGTTACTCGCAGTTCCATTCGACTTGTTAGCGTAAAGGTCTAGCGTTGTGTTTAAAGAATCGATTTCCTTCTCTTCTTCGCCGTCCGACTGGTCGTCAAAGTCGGCGAGAAGCTCGTCCGCCAAGGACATAATGCAAATGAATAAGGCGAACCGGTGTTTATGATATTTATGTTAAAAATCGGAGCTATGCTGACGGTGATGATTTGAAAGCGACGCGAATGGTGGTGGACAGGTGTAATGTGGAGGACTTCAAGGTTGGTTTTCGCTTGGTTCTAAAAGTGGGTTTTGATTTTGATGATGGGAGAGCCGGGTTCTTGATTTGGTAATTTTGGATTATCAAACGTGGTCACCAACACACTTGCCTCCAGGCCATGATATATGATACAACCAAAATTCGAAAGGATCATGATCAAGGCTCAGCATAAAGCTACTATTTGGAAATAAGAATGTAAAGAATGAAGTTTTAAGTTCTTTAATTTATGAACATTGAAGGAATCGTAATTCTCTTAAAACTAGTCTAGTTTGTCTATGGGTAGACATGATGCGAAGAACGAACAGCCCTGGCAAGAGAGGCCACAATCACCAACTAGAGTGAAGGACAGCGATTAAAGTAGCCATGATAAGAGTAGTCTGTAAGCTGCAAACAAAAGCAGATAAACCAGTAGTAGACACCATAAAAACAGCAGGAGCCCGCGCGAGTCATAAAAGATGAAAACGAGAGTTACCAACAGCACTCAACATCGAAGCAAAAGATAAGTCAGACCCTACCATCCCAACAACTCCATTCAGCGCCTCGAAACCCACTAGGCATGACAGAATGCAGCGAGAAGTCGTCCTACCGTTTCCCTCTTCCTGAGCCTTGTCCGCCGGCGGTGTTCCATGTTCCTGGATTGGCCCAGACATTGTTCTGCCCAAGTCCAGAGTATGAAGAGCCCATAAGCGGTGGCTGTTGTCCTGAATAGCCCTGGTTACCATTCATGCTATTCCCGTTGGGTACGCTTCCCCAGATCTGACCGGGTTGCTGGCTTCCTATGGGATTAGTAACACCCCAAGGGGCTGCGGCCGCGGGACTATTGAAGCCGGCGCCTGGGCCACCGTGTGGGTTTTGTTGGTTGTTCCCGGCGAACATCGGGTTAGGGAAGCCCCTGCCTTGCGGGACGGGTGGGTGGTGTGTCATAGAACCGAGTCCCATAACGTGGCTACCTCCACGCCCGGTAAACCCAGAGCCCCTGTGGCCTGTGCCATCGGGTACCTTTGGCTCCCGCATAGGAAACTGCACGGATGGCCCGTTACTGGCATTTTGGTTGAAAAACTGCGGATGCCCCGGTTTTTGGCTGTAACTTGGGTCATAGAGATTCTGGGGTAGCGGTAAAACCTGGTTCGGCATATTCGCAGGCGCCCCCTGCTGATGGAAGGGGGGTGAGTATGGGGGTTGAAAGTTTGGAGGTGATACCTGGTGCTGCTGAACTTGGTAGGGAAGCTGGTTTTGGTTTTGAAATTGGTTGAACTGGTGAGGGGGGGGAGGTTGCATCGGGGGGGAAGAAAAGCTGTTGTTCCACGATGATGCCCCCACATGAGAAGGTCTCGGTGGAAAGTTCCCACCCTGACCTCCATTGAAGGATGGTTGTTGCTGTTGCTGAGGCAGTGGTGGGAATCCGGACTGGTTATTGTAATTAAAATTCGCAGGGCCTGGGGGAGGGCTTGTATATTGCGTCTGGTAGCCCATATATGGAGGCTGAGGGACATTTGATTGGAAATGGGTCGTTCTCGACTGTATTTCCCTCATATGAGCCTCTGCTTGTAGTTGTTGATCTAGTTGATAGCTCTCGACGGTTCCGGCAACCATTGCGCTTCGAGGAACAAAGTCATCGTCTACCCTTTCCCTTCTTCGTTGCCTTGAAGATGGCGATGTTTTGCGCGAAGGTATATTTTTGTTTTGCTGGCCGGTAGTCTTAACACCAGACGGGGTTGCAGTTCCACTGTTTTTTCCATTTGAAGAAGGGTTCTTCTCCATGGAGTCCCCGCCTCCGCTTCCAGAAGTATCAGGCCCGAACAACCTCTCCCGCGCTTTCGCATAGCGCTCTTCTTTCTCTTTCCTCTCCCGTTCCATCTTCTCCTGAGGGGTCTCCTTCTTCACTTCTCCGTCGGAACCCCCATCACTTTTAGGAGTACGGCTTCCGGCCTTGTTGGGATCACGTTCGGGCGAGTTTGTATTCGCCGCTCGCTTCAGAATCTTGAGTTCAGGTCGATACAATGTCTTCCCGGATTGGGGGACTGCCGCAACGACCTCGAAGGAACCGCCTTCATTAGCAGCATTCCAAATTTGCATATTCTGCATATGGGTAGAGAGGTCATCAGCGGATCCTGGGTTTGGACTCGAGGCAGGCTTCTTTGCGAGAATTATCGGAGGGTTCCCAGAAGAAGGTGGAGAGGGTTTTTTCGTTGCTTCAAGCTGATCTATGGGTTCAGAGGTAGCTGGTTTCTGTCGTTCGGACCTTAATTTAGCTCTCATAATCACATATATATGTGTTTAGATATCTCCTACCTGGCCAGTTCCCCAATCATCGTCGTTCCAGGCGTCTGGTAAACTCGCTCCGCCGGACTGACCGCCAATAGCCGCCATTGTGATGATGCAGAATCTTTCGTCTTCAGTGGATTGAGATAGATGTAGTGATGCAGAATGCGGGCGGACTATGTAAGTTCTGGATCCTTGTAATCCCAAGAGCCAGAGAACCCCGGACAAACTTGCACGGGACTGTGTATCCCTAGCAAACTTTTTAAATACGGGGCGGTACTGTTGAAGGAGCAGTATGTGGCCAGAAACAGCTACTCTGAATTCGTTCCCCGCCTGAGATGAAAACTAACAAAGTTTTTTTTTTTTTGAGGGGGGTTTTATCACGGAAAGATCCCGCTGAACCCTTCCTCAAGCCTGAATCGTCGATAATTGCGACAGTTGGTGTGCGAAAATCCCGTGAGCAACGATAATTAAGATCGAGAGTATGGCCGGAGTAACGAGATGATCGAGTAAAACACGGTACAGAATAGACTATCAAGAAGGAACAATGGAACGGCAGTCAACTCGGATATCGCAGGGCCGGAACAAGGGCGCCATTCTTTCGTCGAAGCAATGGAAACGAGAGCCAAATCGTACGTCCTAATTGCTGTAACGGCCTAGTTTGGCGATTAAAGGACGTCGCTAGATGTGTGGACGACGGTGTTCGGGGCCGGATTGACTATCCGTGGCGTGGGGATGAACAGGTTTTGGTTCGGCCACTGATGATGGTGGAGTTTTGGGGTTGAGTTGGTGGTCCGTCAACTTGCCATCCAAAAGTTTCCTCTTTGGGCTCCGAACACCACACCGTTTGGCATCCCTGTGGCTTGACACTGGCGCAGTTAGGTCGTTGCAGCTATTCATATTATATTATCGCTCTATAAATTCAGATCAGGAATATGAATACATTGGATTCAAAACGGGGATAGTTATGTAATTACAACTGACTAGTGCGGGGGCCTCTCTATATAAAGGATATAAGTGTCTCTACAGTATAGTCTCGTATTCATTCTTATATAAGCAGCCATCTGGTATCAAAAATCGTATATTCGTGATATTGTCAAAGAATCAAACGCCATGAAAATGCATCATGCTGGCTGTCGGTAGATACTATTAGAATACTACGATAGGCATTTGCCTTGAGCCCAAATACGCATGCGGATTTGCAGGAAAAAAAATAAATTACCACCCGCCTCCAACCTTTTGTGCCAACTCTGCTGCCTGAAGAGTACTCATCTCCCCGTCTACCTTACCAACATTGCTCTCAACGGCCCTATATGTGGTATACACCAGCTTATCTAACGGCACTCTAGTATCCGCAACCCAGTCTTCCAGGAGCTGGTCAATGTTAGCAATCCGGGATTCCCGATTTCGAACAATCAAATCCTTTCTCCCGGTCTCTATTGCGTCTTCATCTGCAGAGAAATACGCTTCATCAACCCTCCCAAGCCAGGCTTTAGCTTCAGACCTAAGAACAACGGCAGCATTCGCAGTCGCTTGAGCTACTGAATCAACGATGAACGAATCGTCAAACTTCAGCTGACCTCCACCATTCGTGCACCCTCCCGGACAAGCCATGACTTCGGCATAACAGTATTCGCTTCCTACCGATGAAGACGTACCAGCCCGAGCGGTCGGTGCACGTGCTGTCTTCCCAACTACTTTCCTTGCGGCTCCACCAGGTAACATCCTTAACTTCGCAGGCTTTAATTTTCGGACAAGGTTCTGAATATTTCGAAAGCCGTAAAACCGGGCCATTTTCAAGATTTCGGTCTCTCCATCAGCCGACAGGAGGATAAACTCCATCACATCCGAGTTCCTTCCTTTTTTTTCGATTATTTTGCTACCCGTGTGCTTTGATTGCAGCTCTTGCATTATGCTGACGAGATAACCACCTGAAGTGCCAACCTGTAATCCTAAAGATTGTTCATCCTTCAGGTTCCGAGCGCCTAACAAAAAAGTCTGGAGTGCAGGGATCGGAGGAAGCATTTTATTCGGTAGGGCTTTCGGAGACAATGTGCTGAAGTCCACATCGCGAAAATCTGCAAGCTGTAGCAGCTCCCTAGTTGTTATCACACAGTCCACATCCCTTGTAGGTGTGATATCCTGATCAACATCCTTCCAAGTTGCATCCGTGAGTTCAGCTCGACTCGCCTCGAGTTTTTTATCAAAGCACGGCATGACGGCGACATGATATACATCTATATCGTCGCCAATATACCTGGGCAGCAGTGATTTGAGGAGCGTCCCTAGCAAGGCTTGAGGTGACTTTAACCTTGATAGATGCGGGAGAACTGCAGGGTGCGTCTTCTCTAAATAACACACAAATCCAGGGCACTCGGACGTCAGAATCGGGAGTTTTGGGGTCTTTTCGGATCTATTTGCTAACGAATCCGCTAGCTCTTGAGCGGCAAGGTGTAAACAGACGGATAGAAAGGGGGCGGTATCGAGAACATAGTCAAATCCCCTTTTCCCATTTGAGGATATAGACTCCAGTAATAATCGATCTATCATATGGCCTATCTCATTTGTGGATCTTCCCATCGCCGCTGCCAAAGAGGCCCTAGTTTGTGGGGAGACCGAAGCAACGAATATGCGTTTCCGCTTGTTCGGAACTGTTGCATCTTCACCCGCACCGACATGCTGCAGGGAGCCGTTGAGGGAGCCAACCGAACAGGAATCCTCCGAGTCTAGAACGGTAAGAACTTCCTGATGGGATTGAAGAGAGACAAGGACAGCTTCAGCGGATGTGACGCAACCAGAGCATGCAAGGCAGTCCGTGAGAGATATTTGGGCTGCCTGGAGTTTTGCTTCTGTTGCTGTGACTTTGTCTTCTGTTGTGACTTCGTAGGGATTCTAAAAAAGCACCATTGTGGCGAAAACGGTCAGCCCCAAGTAGGTGATTGAGATGAAGGGTTGTGGGTTGACCACGTAGCAAGCCAAGGGAGGGGATTGGCCTGGATGCAATGGAAAGGAAACATACCGAAGGCTCGGAAGGGGCAGCAGGCAGGGTTTCAACCGGTTTGATACAGGCCACACCAGGACTGATAAAGTCGTTCAGGTCGTCGGCACTAAGGATGGCGCTCATTGTAGCCGGGAATCAAACGTAACCAGGAATATCAAAAAATGTCAGCGGTTGCCGTCGGAGAGTGAACTACGGCTGCAGGAGGTGAGGCGGGCTGGCCACGACAGCAAAGGTCCACCACGTATGCGTATGCAGCTTCGGCTTCGGCTTCGTCCTGGTCGTGTGAGAGCAGTTGAGCGAGGGCACAAGTTTTGCATTTCGGGAGGGAAGGAGACAGCTTGATTCTACCAGCTTTAGTAATGCAATTTGAGAGACAGACGCCTCGAGCTCGAGACTAGTTAATTTGCACTTGCTTATTTGTGTACTTAAGTACCTAAGTAAGTAAGTACTATGTAAAAGCTTAGTGGTTGGTAATGTGCAGAGTTCGAAGGTTCTGCGTCTGCGTGGCGAACAGTCATTTGTCCCTGCCGAAATCGGAGGGCTCTGATTGGCTGCAGGTTCACCGCCAACTCAACGCACATGCAACACATTCCGACTGTGTGACAAGACACTATAACATATAACACCAACTTAGCTTAACTGGAACTATCAAGTCTCATGCATCACATCATCATCGATCATCATTGCAGAGAACGTTAATGTTGTCCTCGGATTGATTGTCAATCGCAGTAAAAGGGTGGGGGAATGAAAAAAAAAAAAAAAAACTTAAAAAAAAAAAACTTGCGGGCATTGATATCAGGGAACCAAGGCCAACCTTCTTGGGATGCCCAACGTTCCAACTGAGCTGAGGATGCAGTGAATAATTGCATTCAATTGACTCGCGGATGTCATGTCATACGTTTAATTATGCAATGTACGTACTTAAGTCCTCATAAGTTTAGCTTAGCTAGGATATACCGCATGCGAATGGTCCGCTACAGTATAGCCAGGCACAGGCAGATATGCACCTTCACCCACCATTCGGATCCTCAGTGCAGTGCAGGCTTATGCGATACCAGATGGCCTGTATGGCGGGGTAGCCTGGGTCTGGGCCGTGCCTTGCATCCTCGGGGCGTCTGAATCCTTCTCATCCTGTTCTTTTTCTTCTTCTAAACCTTGTCTAGCTCTGACTTCAAGGCCGATTTGCATTGACATTCTAACATTAGCCTTCCCTGTTTTGCTCCTCGATCACCCACAATATTCGATTCCTGCCTTAAAGGAGGACTTAGTCTCGTTTTCAGAAGAGAGCTATAAAGACATCCGGGCTTCCTCCCCCCAAAAAACCTTTTTATCAGTTTCATCTTGTTTTATACTTATAACATATATATAACACTCTTCTTTGTGTATTACCTCCCAAATACCAAAAAATTTCGACCTCCACATGCACAATGGCTGCGTACGCATACGAGACCGAAGCTTATAGACCGGCCAGCCGCCGAACCATGCGCTCCTGGAGCTCAAAATCAAGTCGACGAGCAAAAGGCCTAACTTTTTTTGCCTGCTTAATCTTCTCTTGCCTTCTCTGTGGTTGCGGTATTCGTCCAGATTATGACCTCGAAGATGATGTCTATGACTATTACTAGAAGGCTCATCAGCCAATGGCTTCAGATAGATATAGTCATAATTACGAGTAAGTTGTAGTCTAGACATACCTTTTTTTTTTTTTTTTTTTTTTTTTTCCGGGCTTCGGACCTAGAAAATCAAGTACAACGTCGCTAACTCGCACGTAACAAAGATTTACAACTGATACGTTAACGTCGGACGCGATATTTAAATTATTCGGAAATATCCTCTTCGCGTCTACTGGAATAGAAATCACCGCTTTAATTTAATGCTTCCCTAGAATCAAAACTGGGGAACTAGATACGAGATATATGAGAAACATGAACATATCGATGGGGAGACTCCCCGATACATACTTCGGATATATACCTATATACGACTGCTCACGAACAATGCGTGTTCTCAACGACGAACAAGGAAATCGTGAATAACACGAAGTCCGGACGCAAAATCATCCAACTCCGTGTCCGGGTCCACACATGAAATATATATGTTCAAAGTTGGATAAAAGGGCAAAATCTACCTCGATTATAATATTCTTCTCGAACCTATGAGTTCGAGTGGTCTTTCGAAATTTCGGCCACTATTGCATATATCGCATGCGATATCCACCCTCCAAAATAGGATTTTCACCTATATATATACAGCTTAGCCTCGAGATTCCGTAATACGAGAGTACATAGGTATGCATGGCATACTAGTATACTTCCGTCCCGGTCATTTTATCGGACAGTGCGTGGAGTCGATGGTCGGTGCCGATCTGGCCCGCACGAGATTTTAATATCACAATACCTCACCTTTTCTACAACCTCAAGCTGGCTTCTCACAATCGTTTTGTCAAATATTTCCCCAACCATTTCCTTTGTTAAATGCTAAACTATTAGATCTATAGAATTGAAATCTACATGTATATAGGTATATGCATTTATGTAGCATAGCTAGAATAATATAAGGGAACTATCCTTAGTCAAGACTACACCCGAGACTACAATTATAATTATAAACACAGAACGGGATCGATTAAATAATGTGCACCACCTCATATTCAGTTCACTCGAAAATGACCCAAGCCGCATGCCATGCTACTCTCCCAATCCATGCATTTCTATGCGTGTGAAAATCCGCTGAACCCATTTCCTTGACATACAATTACCAGAAAGCTTAAGCCGTTGATGTCGTATCGTCAAAATTAAAGTCATTATACTTCCAGTCTATGACGCCCCAGGCTGCAGGCAACGGGAACCAGTTTCATAGATGCTTAACATATCTTTATGCCCGTTTGAAACACCACCGTGACCAGAACCAAAAAAAGAACATTACTAAAACTGAGTCGTCACCCTCGGGCTTATCGGCAACTGAAACAAATCATCGTCATCGTCATCCTCTTCCCCACCGTCTCCTTTGAAAACGCGTCCCTCATCTTTGACATTCAATCCTTCGAATCCAGGTATCAATCCCAATCCGTGCGTGGCTCCGGGCGGGCGGATGGCCTTAATTGCGTCCATCTGCAACAATGGGACTGCGCCCTTTATATTGGGCTGATATGCTCCAGCCGGATACTTCGGATTCGGCGATGTGGGCCACGGAACCGGTGGGTCGTCGTATCTATGCCCCAAACCCGTAGAGGCCAACGTCGCCTGCGAGGTCCATTCTTTCGCTGTAGCCGTAGGTGACGTGGGTGTATCCGTTACGGCAGACTTGATCGTGACATCCGGTGTCTCTGCCTGTACAATTCCACCAGCAGGTCTCGCCTGTGCAATCCGTTCGAGTGTGATACCAAACTCCTCTTCTATCCATGCCTTCTCTTCTCTGAGGTGCTTACTATTCTCACCTATTCCAATCGCTCCAGCTTTAAGTTTCGCTTCAATATCTTCCAGTCTTCTGACCGCAAATACAGTATGTAGGATGCCGCGTTTACTACCTCGAGTTTTCGTCGCCGAGCTTTCCACGTCCAGTAATATTAGGTCGGCAATATACCTGTAATTTGCGCCCAAGAACTCGGAAGATAGCGGATACGTCTGAGGTAGAGTCTTAACCGGTATTTCCAGGGGTGCAGAGTGCTCCTCTTCTCGTTCCGTTCCCGCTGCAATAGGTGGAGCAATGGCCGCTCGTTTCTGCCGTAGATATACTTTTGATATGTGAGGTACGGTGCCCGGTATCAGAGCTATAAGCATTACGGTATCTTCATCTTCGGTGGGAGTGGGAAGGTTTGTAAGTTTCGTTCCATCGAAGGTGATCTCCTGGGGAGCTTCGATAGGGGCATCCCATTCCCACCGCTGTTCTTCAAGAAGAGGAAGAACGATCGGTTTTTCGTCCCATTCGAGAGTGTAGGTTGTTACACGGTTGGGTGGAGGGGGAGGCGAGAGATCGGACCAGGAGAACTCGATTAGAAGGGCTTTGGAGTAGGCTGTTCAACACATCCGACATATTAGCTACTTTATTCGACTTTGGGCCGAGCTGGGCAGAAACGAGGATGATTTCGATAAGATTATGCAAAACCACGGAGGGGGAAGGAAGGGAAGAAGGAAAGAAGGAGAAAGAGGGAGTGATTGGATTACCGTCCAATTCGTCATTTACGGGTGCGCCATTCTTAGATGACAGTTCCAGTCGAGCTATCGGTATCCGCTGGGACAGAGGCGGGGATGCCAGCCGTTGGTTGTTGTTGTCGGACGTGGACGCCATGTGCGTGTTTAAGTATAAGTAAGCGCCTATATATAATAAGCTTAAGTAGAATACGAGAAGATATTATATATATATATAATATTACAGGAAGATAAGGAAATTCCAAAAGGATGAGAAGGGAGGATCGAGGAAATAGAGTCAGCTAACGTCTAAGGAGGCGGGGAGATGATGATTGGATTGGATTGGATTATATTAAGGAGACCTAGCCTGGGCTGGCCGTGACCGTTTGAAAGGTCGTTTTTGTTAATTGACGGTGCAGTGCAGTACAGTGCAGTGCGGTGCAGACAAATACCAAGACCCGATTGGAACATCGCCTAACTTACTCGAGTAAGTACTTACTTAAGTACAGTACTTATATATAAAGTATCTACATCTATAGTTTAGTTGTATATGTCTACTAAGAGGTAAGCATGGAAGTAAGTATGGAAGTAAGTAAGTATGTAAAAGTAACTAAAATATATACTTAAGTACCTACTTAAGTAATTAATATATTATTTTACTACAGCTGCTGGTCTGTTGTGCTCAAGACTCTTTGAAACACAATATGTAAGTACTTAAGTATGTAAATATATATTCGTCGATGCAATAGCTGTCCCGTTATCAGTTCGGATTCTCGGCTCTCAGGCCTAAGCTACTTATGTCTCAGGTATATCTTAACTCAGCGCAGTAGCTACCTAAGTTAGGTAGACATATGGAGCTTGAAGATGAAGATGAACATTAATAATTAATATCAATGCAATGCGCACTGCACTTCAGGGTTTCTTTCTAGAAATCCAACGTGTTCAACACAAGCCACCGCAATTTCCCTTCGTTTCTGGCGTCCGTTTAAGTTAAATCATGCACAGTTATCAATATCTAAGCCTGCAAACCAAAAGAAAGTCTAACCAAAAGAGCTCTATATTTTGTTGAAGGAAAGGCTATATAGGTGATATAGGAAAGAAGTATGGAATTGAAATGAATGAATTAATTGTAAGTAAGTACATAAGTGAGATCCCTGAAATCCCAAGAAACGCCGGAATTCCAATACATAGTATAAGAAAATAATAAAAAGTCGTCAAACAAGTAACCAGAGCGCCTACTATTCGATCTTTATCTGCCCTGCTGACCAAGCAATTTTATGTATATAAGGGGAAAGATCCAAATCGAGAAAAGGAGATTTACAGTGCGACGGCAAGACCCAAAACACCGGCAACTCCCATGACGCCAAGACCGACAAATGTCTTCGAGCCGGAATTGGGTGTCCCGCTGGCGGTTGGAGCGGAGGTAGTGCTGCTGCCGGTCGTGACACTGTTGGCCTCGGTGCTAGTCTCTGGTCCACCAGTGGTCCTCGATCCAGAGGTTGAGGCTCCGGTTTCAGTAGCCTCGGTATTGGTATCGGTGCTTGTTACGATACTCTCGGTACCAGTGGGGGCAGGAGTCGTAGTAATATCCGTCAAAGTAGTTAGGTCTCCTATTTGGCTGGTAATAGATGCCTGGAAATCACTGAAAGAAGACTGGAGATCAGGTGGGAGTTGGGAGATTATAGAGGAGATGAAAGACGGGTAGGCAGATGTGGGAAGTGTTTGTATAACGCTTTCGATCTCAGATGCAAGAGATGGTGGAATGGCGGTGATCAATGGAACGAGGAAGCCGGTGACCTGGCTGAAGATGCCCTGGACCTCACTTGGGAGCTCGGTGAAAATACCCTGGATTTCGGTTGGGATCAAGTTATCCGGGATCAAGTTATCTGGGAACCTATCATCATACACTCCGATTAGTATACATTTTTTCCTTGGTATTCGATGTTAAATTGCCTAGTGTGTCTAATAGGGCTACATACTGTCGCTCCTGGATGACGGCAGCGCTGCTAACAGCGGCAAGCGAGGCAACAATGAGGTTCTTGAGCTGCATTATGAAAATGGATATTGGTATTGATATTGAGGTCTATCTTTTGTAGAGTGAGATATATAAAGAATAGTTTAGATCTGCGGGAATACCGGGTATATAAGGTAAGTGCTGAAGTACTAGCGAAGTAAGTAATAGGTAGGTAGGTAGGTATATGCTTAAGATCTTGGGTGGGTGGAGTAGGGATGAAATAAAGATGGAGCGGGAGGGCGTATGCAAAAGCTTATATACTTAGTACTTAAGTAAATACTTGGTACCGATTTTGCCTTGCTTACTACTCCTTCTTATTTCTCCTTTAGTCAGTATAACGGGCCTCAATTTACTTAAGAAGTTATAATTAAAATTGATTAGCGCCTTAAGCCTTGCTCTTCCTGAGAGGCGCATGCCTAAGTTAGGTATCCAAATATCCTTTTTGGGCCCGACGCAATCGAAAGGAAGGATGGTGAGATCCCTTTGGAGAGGAAGTGGTGAAAGTACCTTCATACATCATGTCACACACCCACCCACCCACACGCTCACGCACACTGTCAATCCGATTGAATTGATTCGGATTTGGATTTAGCGTTCCTAGGTACTTCCTTCGAATTCGAAGATCTCATTGCCTTCAAACAGTTTAGGCCACCGAAACTTCGTTTCTTGAAGGTACCAGCACCTCTACATCTGACGTGGGAGGACATTTTGAGTAAAGTAAGTTAAGTTAACTTCAGGGAAGTACGGAGTCAGCGTGAGTGCTCTTAGGTATCGAACGTCATCTTTGTCTGACAAGGTTCCCGGGCCCAGGAGACCTAGCCTCCGAAAAGGGTTTGATCTAACTTTTAAAGTACCACTACCTTCCTCTGTCGGAAACTGCAAGGAAAATTCGAGAGAAGGATTGTCTAAGACCGGTACCACTACTTTCGCCTGCACTTCATTTACTCCCGACAGAGATTTGAAGCAGGTGCTAGTGATGCCGTACCAGGGGCTGTGTCAGGCAGGTTTGCAACGTTTGATCAAACGGGCGCTAGCTGGCAATTACAAGGCAATGCAAGGCAGATGCTGACGATAATTCAAAAAAAAAAAAAAAACTGCCCGAGTCTTTGTCATGCCTGAGCGCGATCAACCTGAACGAAAATCCCGTTTATAGTTTCGAATCATTTTCCCCGTTTGCAGCGGTAAACGGCGTGTGGTGTGTCGGCGATGCAAGTGGCTGTTCTATGATAGCTATAGCCGGGCCTCAACATTGCAACATTACTCGTAACTGAGTCAAATAACCTTCAACCAATTCAAGACTTACTTGCAAGCTAGTGGGGGCTGCTAGCTTTTAGTATCTCGATATATCTACACTGCGTACGCGCAAGAAATGTGGCAAAGTTTGGCCACCATACATCCTTCTCAGCTACTAGCTTACGTACTTACTGTCTCCGGTTATTCTTAGCAACAGGCAGCTGTGGCTTGCAAGTGGTGTTGGCTTTAGCTCACGCTCAAGTCCAACGATGCGATGCTAAGTATATATATGTGTGCGTGTGAGTGGTTGGAAATTTCACCATTCGATAACTTCGCAGCCGCAGCCGATTTTCAACAGGAATACTCAGTACA